AAAAATTATTTTAACAATGCATATTTTTATTTATTAGTCAATTTTCGGACTTGTCCATCACAACACTACTTTAGTAGTTACTGGCCTTTTTATATTATTCAACTACACTTGGTCCAACCATTTATTTTACTTATGACAGCATCGTAGAGAACCATAAATAAAAAATGGAATACTTCCTTAGACTATGGATTTTTTCCATCCTCTAAGAATACTTCATTGACGTTGTTTTTTCTTTACCTTTATAGTGAAGCGACGTGCTCTTTAGCATTAATTAATAAATTAAAATTAATAAATTATAAATATTTGTATTAAATTTTAATTGTTATGATTCGTCGGAACCTTTCAATACGAACTGGAATCGTCACTTGAATCGTCAATTATTTATTGTGAATGTGAACCAGCTCACATTCGCGATTAAAACTTCTTCATTAATAAAGTTGATTGTTATATGAAATCGAATCGGTAACGCATTAGGACATCACACTTAATTGATTAGTACTCGAACTGTCAAAAATAAAATAAATAGTTGGACGAAGTATAGAAATATAGTCAAAACACTTTGTAAGTGGCCGAAACGCTAACCGCGAAAAACCAAGAGAAATAAGAAAAAAGTTTTAAAGCCTTTTGGACCAAAAGTACTCGTACCTATTGTGTTCATTGTGTGGTTTATTTTCTTGATATTGTAAATAAAGTGAAATTGAGTTGTAACATCAAATTTTAAGGGGCGATAGTAAACGACTCATGAATACAAAATAAGGTGACCATGCAATCGAAATAAAGAAAATCTGTATCATATGTTTTGGTTTTGTGTGGAATAGCAGACGGCTACCCCTATAGGAAACTTGTTAATAGTTGTCTAATCATCCCTTATGTTCAATTTATATTGCGGCGGAACGGAATGGAAGCGAATTTTTGTAACGATATTGTCCATAGCGTAAAGTTTATGGTCAATTGTTTAGCGTACAAAGTAGATACGAGCCAAAAATCACGTCACGCGTCTTCCGCGGAATTCTTGCGCATGCTCGCGCATTCGCGAGAATTCCGCAGCTGCCTTCGGCGAGGCCTGGCGAATTCGCGGGAAGTGGCTCGAAGGCAGGCGCAGGTGACGTCACACGTCGACGAAATACCACAGCCTCGAGACGTGGTCCCTGGAAAGCTCGGGCATTCGCGGGAAGCATTCCAGCGACTGTGCGTGCCTATCCGCGCAGTGAGGCGAAATTGGCGCTTCCATTCCGTTCCGCCGCAATGTAAATTGAGCCTTAAAGTTTGACATAAATTAAATTTCACCATGGAGCTTATAATATAAGCTCTTTTAGATATAATGATCATTTACATTTCAAAGTTCGCAGGAATTTTTGCGCAAATTACCAATCGTGCGTTATATAGTGCGAGTTATCTTTTATGAAAATAATGTTTTTTTTTAATTTAAGGCACAAGTTTTCTTTTTTAAATAATGCATGTAAAGTAGAGTGAGAAAGTGATTTAAATTTTTACGCAATAAATTGTCTAACGTCCTCATCGCAACGTTTAAATAATTTATTGTTTAGTCTTGTGTATTAGTACTGTTGATAAATTTTGTGTTAAGTCGCCTACAGATTTGCTCGATTTAATCGAGTGTTACTGTCGATCGACAAAGTCGATCATTTTTTGTCGATCAATAGGTGCGATCGAGCAAATCTGTAGCCACCTACGTTGTGTTGATCGCACGTGTCGATCGTCTGTTGTTACCACATTTGCTCGTTATGTTTGATAGCACGTGTCGATCGTCAAAAAATCGAGCAAATCTGTACTTTTAGGTAGTCGCGACGAGGCGGTCCATGTAAATCCATCTCGGCGAACCACTGGCTCTCTGCCGTCCACTAAAACGCGGCTATGTGACAAATGGTCAAATGACCGTTTTAAATAGCAAAAAATAGAGCACAAAATTATCTTTTAAAAACAGTTAAAATTAGTTAACGTGTTCGACTTATCGGAACTTACCCTAACGATGCATAACCGAAATATCATTAAAGAATTTCGATATTCTAAAACTGGGTTATGGTTTTTTATGATATCTCAAAAAAATATTTTGTCACTTAGCAGCGTTATAGTTAGCGGACGGCAGCTCTTCAGACTGTTATCGAACTTAATGTTGTTGTTAAAAGAAACAACAAGTATTGGACAAATAGATGTGTAATTTTCTCGGTTACTTGTGTTAAGCGTCAAATAATTCTTTGTATTTAAGAAATGACTGGACATCTATCCAATGTCTAAAAATCTTATCGACTGTACTAAATACAATAATAAAATTTCCTTGTATAATTCCAGTGGTGTATTTAGAAATTAACATTAAAAGTAGCAATTTAGCAATGTTTAGTTAAGTTATTGTGTTTATCGATAAAAATGTTTTAAAAAGTGTAATTACTGTCATCACATAAGGGCCGATTCCCACTGTTTAAATGGCATTAGCATCACGCTTTGATACTACGCGTACATGCCGAATTTGAGACTAGAACCAAATGATGTTAGAGCCTGTTCAGTACATCTGAATTAGGCATAGTCATGCATGGTTTTATGGTAAACATATTATACAGAATATGTAACAACATAGCATAAATACAAAATATTATTATTTTTTACCTCGTAATTAGAAAGAAATAGTCTTTTTATGTATGACTTATTTACAATTAAATACCGAAATACTATATCTATGCTGATATAATATAATTTTTATACATTCTTGGCAATTCTTAAATTGGCGTTCACGCGTTAAACGCAGGTTTTCTGTGGAAATATATCTGCAGTATGCCGTAGCGATACAGTGGGGTTCAACCCTAATATTAATTTAAGCAGTAAGTATGGTTTTTGTAATGATGAGGTGCTGGCCATTGTGACAATCTATAAACCAATTCAAACATATTTATGCATTTTATTTCGATTAATAAATTCAAATATAGGGTAACATAAATAATCTTGACTTTGCTGGAAATATGAAATAAACAATTATCAAATTGTGGAGAAGTTGGTTGTGGACAGTTCTGCCAGTTTTTGTTTTATTTCGGTTATCTGTAAAAAAACATATTACTGTCAAAATGTTTCCAAAATCATTGTGTTTGATCCGTAAAAGTTCGACAGTTCCATAGTGTTCCAAAATCCTGTCACACTCGACACAATCAAATAAAGCTGAGTAAGTGATGAGTTTTATAAAAATGGTTTGAACTCAGAAAATAACGGTACTACTATTAACTTGATTTTAACAATAATTTAAAGCACTGTTGATGTAGCTTTCCGCTTTTTCATAATAAATAATCGTAATTTCATAATAATTAAAAATTTCGTTGTAACTGTTTGTTGCTCAGTTATTTCCGTTAGTATTAGCACCCAAACATAGTTTTGAAATGGGGTCGGTTACCCATACATACTACGTCTAATTTTTTTTATTCTAATCTGACAGGATTTTGAAGCAATGCGCTTTCCTTCCCTAAAAAGTTGTAATAAAAATCGTTAGTGGCTAAACCTCTCACGTGAAGCCAAAAACAAAAGACAGAAAACAATAACTCAAGAAACACCTTAAAAAAGCTTATGCCAACTCCAAGTTATACATAACATGAAATGGAAAGTGTATTAAAAAGGTGCATGACAAACTGTTTTGAGGAGTCTTGGTACTATCTACCTGCTGTATCTCATTCATAAGAACTTTCTGTTCCGTTCTAGGCGACATCGAGTTCCTATTTAAATCAAGCGCTTCTAAATTCTCAAATAATTTCTTTATTTTCATCGCCAAATGTACGTCACTATTATTCTTCCTCGGAACTGATATTTTACTTCGTCTTAAAAGGTTCTTCTTGTATTTATCTGGTAGGTCTTTTTCGATGTCCTGTCGCGTTAGTAGTGTCATGTATTCTGGATTAGTGTCGTATGGAAATGTGGTAGGATCCATTTTGAAGTCGCGGTTGGTACAGTACATTTGTTTGTAACGATACTCTTTGCGCCAATTTTGTAGTTGTTGCAGGTTCCTGTCAATAAACAGTAGATATTTGGGTAAAAATTGTTCTAAATTGGTTCTTTCGTGCTTGTTACACGTTGCAAACGAAACTATTTTTTCGGATCTAAATTCCGCATATATCGCTGCTTTTCAGAAATAGTGACCCAATATAAAATAGCCCATTTTTTGACCTATTACTGAGGTTTGTTCGTAACCTGCTAAATTGTATAGTGGACACCGAGTTTATTCATTGGTTAAAGTAATCACATGACAGAGTTGGGATTTCTAAGTTTTTTAATCCATCTTCGTGATGAATTGGATGCTTTTGAGATAGGTCACTATTCTAGAAATTCATCGATATGTGTTTTTTCAAACAAATCGGCGTTTCGGGCCCTTTACAAAACATGCGACTTAGATCCGAAAAAATAGTTTCTAAAGAGGGTCAACCTTCAAACTCAGGGAATGGATGTTCTGAGTTAAATTTGTCATCATGCTAGGCGTCAGCAGGTTTGCGATCTCTATCAGGCAACTAACCAAACTAGTTTTTTTTGAAACTTTTCATTAGGTGAAAGAAAATACGATATCATTATACTTACTTTCTGTTTTGTATATTTTGTTCTCTAGTAGCCAACAATTGTTTACGCTTTGCAATGGCTTTGTCTTTCAAGTAATTCTGTTTGATTTTAATCATTTGTTCCTGTTCACCGCTTGTACGCAAAGGTTTAAGGTATTTTGCACTTTGATAATATGGTGGCAGACTTGCATATCGACTCTTGTCCAATTTCGGACATTTGCCTTTAATTTTAGCATAAAACTCATCATCAGAATCATCTCTTTCGTTTAATTTGACGCGTAAGTTACTTTCTTTAATTCTACTAACGTCTAAAACGGAGTTGTAGCTTATTCCTTCTTGTGTTTGGTTACAAATACTATGTGTGTCTTCAGATATGTCAGATTGCGATTGCGAGCACATTAAAATTTGGCCAATGTAGTTCTCGTTTAAATACTTTTTAATTTCAGTAACTCCGGCTTTTATAACTTCTCTAGGAGGATACATTAAAGGGTTCCCGCTTAATTGTAGTACTTTCAGTGAGATTACTGTACCTAGTGCATTTGGTAGGGTTGTCAGACAGTTATTTTGCAATAATAAATGAGTAAGACCCTGGTGGTTTTTTATTGAGGCCGGTAAATCTACGAGACGGTTGTCGCGCAAATCCAGCCACATTAAACTTGGTAGGGTTGTGAAGAAGTCGTCGGGCAAAGTTGTTATCTTGTTGTTTTGGAGATATATTACCTGAATAACCACAATTAATTACGTCATTATTATAAACGAATTAAGTAAAAAAGAAATAATCGCCTATAGTCAGGAGCTTATCAACTGACACTGTACTTTCGACCGTTTTTATCCCAAGCGGCGGAGTTGAATTTAAGGGTCGTATTCCAGAACTCTACTCAATACTCAAGTCAGGACTTGAGTATTGCAGTGAGCACTAAAAATCATACTCAAGTCCTTGCCATTAGGATCGTATTTCCAGTGCTTGAAATCATACTTAAATCTACTCAAATCCTGACTTGAGTATTGCAGTGAGTACTGAAAATCATACTCAAGTCCTTACCATTAGGGTCGTATTTCCAGTGCTTGAAATCATACTCAAGTCTGCTCAAGTCCTGACTTGAGCATTGAGTAGAGTTTTGGAATACGACACTAAGGGTCGATACTACCTGAGCTCGAATTCCATTTCTTCCCGTACTAATCGGTTTACTTTGCTTGGGTCGAGCGGCAGGGACACTGGCTTTATTTATTCCAGAATTATTTTTTTTTGCAAACGAAATTAAAGTCATTTGAAAAATGTATATCGTATAAAAAACATTGGTTTATGTAAAGTACCTACCTATTCAATACAGCGAATTTCTTGTAATATTTCGAGGTAAGATTGTGTTTTTTTTTCTATCGTGTAAATTTTTAGGAGTCGTGTTTTCACATCGTATAGTAATCAGTGCATATACTCAATTTTACTATATATTTTTTCCAAAGTGATTGATTCAACACTCACTGTTATTCGGAATCATCGAGTATATAACAAAGCCATTTGTATGATATGCACTTAACCCTGTACCTACCTACTACAAAGATTTTTTTTAACTACCATCAAAATTTTTATGTTGACAAGTTTTGTATTTAGATACCAAAAATTTATTATTGTACAAATTTGACCTAGGTACAGTTTTTTGCTGAAGAATACATAATGCCTGGAAAAAATTGGGATGGCGATCAAAAAGTCTTCCTGTATTTTCCAGATTTTTAGATGTGCCTCTTCCCATTTTTATTATTGTCCAATAAACAAAGGATGCTTGGAAGTGAGAATATTTATCCACAAAATAACATTAAGATTTAGCTGTTGAAAAATATAAGTAAATTTTTCCCATATTTTTTTTATCTATTATTATTTGAAATATTTCTCTTTATCACCCTTTTCCTGATCCCTTTTCCAAATATTCTTTTCGTGTTAAGGCGTTGCAGCCGCGCCTCTACTAATTTTCATACAATGTTTAGTCTGTAAAAGTGGCGCGACTTTAGCGCTGCGGCTTAGGAATGAGTTTTACAAATCGTATATTGTTATTGATCGTATATATATTGCGCCTATATCAAATATCCGATATCGTCTATCTTAGAAACTTTATATCGATATTGCTGCGCATCGCGTAGGTATTTTATAGCGATGCGAATCAAGCCGAGCGATTACCGAGTGGATACCATAGATTTAGTATGTGGATACCAACACGAAATCATGTAGGTATTTTACAAGCTGTATACCGATATTGCTTCGTATCAGATATTCTCTGAGTGGATATCAACGCGAAACCATTTTTTGTTCGTCTTCGAAACTGTATACTAACATTGGCCTGCATTGCTCTTGTAAAACTATATCTAATAATATATAGTTTCGAAATCTGATTCTGAATATCAGTAACGGCAATGTATCAACGCAACGCGCACGCGGGCAGTATCCATGCATATATAGTTTCAGAAAATATATAATTTCGAAATCCGATTTCGAATACCTATCAGTAACGGCAACGTATCAACGCAGTGCGCACGCGGGCTGTATCCATGGATATACATATAGTTTCGAAATCCGATTTCGAATATTGGTACATAGTTTCGATACGATATTCAGAAAAAGCTATATTACCCATTCCTACTGCAGCTAAACATCTAAATATTGTATTAAAATAGTCGCACGGCTGCAACACCACTGCAGCGCTTCCACGAGTGTCGTCGCGCCTTCAAATTAGGCGCCCAAGTTTTCCCGTTTCAGCCAAAAAAACAAAAATCTCAGTGGCTGAAACACTAACCGTAAAAATCTAAGAAAAAATCTTTATGCACCGAATAACAGTTGTGGACTTATTGCCCGGATACCAGCGCCAGTACTAAAAAATACTTGTATGGCTCAGACTACTAATAACGCTGTGCAGTAAGTATGTAAGTTCATTGAGGGAAAGAACAAATATAAACTTACAATTATACTCTTGTTAAAACTTGGTACGACTTCGAGTCCGCGCGATGATAAGTTGACGGTAGTGTCTTCATTCAACTCTTCCTCGTAAACGTTCAAATTCAATGAAGACTCTGACATTATTTCTAGTTAATTACACGTATTAATGTTTAAAAAACAATCACTTGTTTGATCGATAAAAATCGTGGAAACAAGGAAAATTAATTGAAACGTCGCGCGCTTCAACCATAAACAAATCTAAAAATGACACGTCTTTTATTATAGCAACTCTGAACCACAGATTCAAATAGAGTCTAAAGTGGATTGATTTTAGATGATTCAATAATATTTTGCTAAGTAGAAATGGCCAACATTATTGAAACGAGATTTTAAAACTTAATAGACTTTATATTTTTTATGCGTCTCATAAATTGGAAGAAAGCACACTTCCAAAGCAGAGTAACTTAATGTAATTTTCATTTATTAACATAACATTTGACCATGCGATCAATGCAATGAGATAAGTATACAAGTCACTGGATCAATGTTATGTTTTACGCGCTGTTCTGAATTTAGTTTAGAATTGTTCGTTAATAAATACTAAACGCAATGCTCAACTTCCTTATATGTATAGAAAATGAACGAAAATTGAATAACTCATTTATTTAAACTGACTCACATAATGAACTGTCAATGAAGCACCACATGGTGAGAGTGTCACTTCTTCAGTTGCAAGATGGCGAACGTTCGAGATAGTGATACATCTTTGTGGCTCCACAATAAACTCGGAACATCGAACGATTCGTGGACTACAGGCTCAATTTGTACACAGTTGAATGCAGAAGTTCTAAAAAATATCAAGGATTGTTTTCCAGATTTGCAAACCCAAGTGAAATTGAAATTATTGTTAAGTTTCTTTCATATCCCGCGCAGAAATGTTGAAGAGGTAACTTTTCTCTTTGATGTTCTATGGTTTTGCGTAACTGTTGTATCTTGTATCTCTTTCTATCTTATTTAACTTTTATAAGTTGGAATGAGAAGTGATATTGTATGTATGTAGTTTTATTTGTTGTCAATAGAAAATTTACAATATTATATTATTCCAAATATTGAAAAATGAGGCAGTTTTCAAATGGTAATATCAATGATGATTAGTTAATTCAAACACGTCTAATAATTTCCAAAAGGTTTTTGCGTTCTAAATATAATTAATAACCAAAATAATCTGTGTTGATTTTTCCCTCTTATTTTGAAGAGGTTTTGTTAAAATACGTGAAGTAGTTAGTGTTTACATGCAACTCGTATTGTAGTATGAGATTAGAGTATTTGACTAGGCGTAGAATTGCCTATTTGAGTCAACTATACATGCTGGCTATAACCTATACATTGTCAATTACCTTGCATTGGTTTCTAAACATTTCAGAACTATTGTATTTCGGCATGTATATATTTTATAACCTTCAGCTACTATTGAACGAACACACATAAATACATTTACTCAAATATTGACAAAATGTTGGCTAAAAAAGACTTACTAAGTCTACAAGGCTATGTTTGTTATGGTAAAATTTTGTTATTATATCTCTAAGTTTTTTTAAAATTAATAAAAAAGAATTCTACACATTAACAGCTCTAAAAATTTGTCTTTCCATCTACATCTACTTTAATATTGTATCCCGTGTTTATATCCATCACTAGATGTAAATGTTATTATTATGAAAGATATAAAAGTAAACACATCTTTTTCCACTAGTAATATTTATTTAACACAATGGTAATAAAAATAATCTCATATTGGTACCCACATGATGGGAAACAGTACAAAAAAACAGAAAGAGAAGCTAAAGCTAACCGCAGATCACTATTGGGGAAGAGTATCTCTTGGTGTACTATAGACTATAGAAATGGCAAGTAATAATAGGTATAATGTTATATCAGTTAACAGGGCTTATAAATAAATATTGTAGGGATCAAAAACAAAATAATTCTTCAAAAATGGCCTTTGACACACAACAAACAACACAGCTTATGCTGATAATTGGCATTTTTTACTTTTGAATGTTATTCTAAAGTCAAAATGAAATGTGAATATCTGTTATTAATGAAATAATCAACACATACAATTATTTGTTATTCATAAATAGGGACCTATTAGTAAAAATTGCTCAAAAACAATTTTTACACTCTTTAATTACTGAATGGCGTTGTTTGCAAAGTAACAAAATGTATTCTTAGTGTGGAATCTCGATATCAAATGTAGGCTATCATCATAGTCATTTAGGCCATGAATTTGTTTGGAAGACTGATTGATAGTCATTTTTAAACCACTCTGCAAGATTTTGGATATTAATATGGGTTTTTGTTGGTTTTCATCAGCTTAAGAATCATAATTTTGTAATATATTATTTGCTATGAAATGAGTTCAATGATTCAATAAAATTATATATCGGATCGAAGGAATTTTTTCTGAGTGTTCGATCTTTGTATTAATAATTATAACAAACTAGTGTAGTAATTTCACAAAAAAAAATTTGAATATCAATTCAATAAAAATTTAAAATCATATAGTTATAATTTGTACATCTTTTCATTTCAGTGGAAAAATGAATTGGAAGAAATCATTGAAGTTGCAGCAGTCGACTCAGACCTCTGGGTGGCAATGTTGGCAGAAGTCCTTAAGACATTCCCCTCACAAGGCACACTTAACACGGAGATAGCAGAATTTGATGAGACACGGCCAATATTTAGTGATATGATTGGAGAACTGAGGCGGGCTTTGGCCAAGCATTCAGACCTCGGACTTCTACCTCTTGAGTGCCTATATTTAAATAAAAATGCTTTAGTTTCTGTGGTGAGTATTCTGTTATTTATTTTAGTAATTTACAAACTAAAATATATGGTGTAAACACTATGGCCCCCTGCTTGTTTGTTTAGTATACTTTGTAAATAACTTGGTTATCTAGACTCTTTCTGACTATAATGAAGAAAACTTTTTCTCCAGATTTTTATTTTAGTACATCAAGTGAAGGAACAAACAAGTCGAGCGCCTGATTGTAAGTTACTCGCCTGTACATAACAGTTACAGTGCCACTCTGATCAGATCTGAGAGGCACTCCCACTGCGCCCGTCACCCTAAGTTCACAAGTCCCATGTGCCTGTAATGTCACAATTTAATTTCTAAAAATGTACAATAATGTATTATTGTGCAATAGAGTATGTAATACAATACATTAAGCATTTAATAAAGAATAAACAACATTCGGGGTGTTCCATACCATTAATAATAATAACGCACACACTCAACATAGCCTAGGGCAACCCTGTGTCGCGGGTGCCATAGACACACATAGATAACCACAAATTACATCCAAACTCACGAGGGAAATAAATGTAGGCCACACAAATATTTCTCCCGGCCCGGGAATCGAACCTGGGACCTCTGCGTGGCAGTCCGGCATGGTAACCATTCAGCCACGGAGGCAGTTAAATAATTGTTGCCAGATTAGGCGATTTTTCGCCGTTTAGGCAACTTCGAGGGGTCGCGCGGCGACTAAAAAGTGGTCGGCGACTCGGCGATATTTAGGCTATGTTTGAAATAGGAAAAGGGAAAATAATCGTACTTTGTGGAGAATGGAGTTGTAAAATAACTCATTTGGGGGTTTGATCATTTCGTCGTGTGGGGAGTATGAACTCTCTTATTTCTTTCCCCAATGTCCAGCAGTAAACAGAATTCTAGAGTTTCTTAGTGTTTAGGGATTTTATAGCTTGGACGAATATCAGCTACTTACTCAAACTATTGTTTTATTTACTTGCATACAGACAGTTTGTAATCATTAATTATAATTAGTTAATTAGAAGTCTTATGACACTCTAATTAATATTAAATTACATTGCTACTGTGTCCTATTGCATATTGATGTAATACATAGTAAGATCACAAGTGCATTATACAAAGTTTGCCCTTTTACCTGCATATGGACACAATATTCTATTTAATGTTTCTTTTGAAGTACTATTGACTATTATCTCCTATTCAAATTGCGTCACGATGGCGTGATGATGTCCTTTATTTGTTACAACATGGAAGTGTGAAGGGTCTTAACATGATTCTAAGAATTATATTGTAAATTGATCCAAATAAACTAACTAAAAATTATTAAAAAAAACAATTATCTATCAATCTATCAGCGAGTTGACCACGTAAGTCACCACATTATCATTGATATTCACTGTCTGACTCTGTTTTTCAGTTTAAACCATTTTCCACTAATAGGATCTTGGACAAGATCTTGGAATTTTCATCATCATCATTCACAACCCAACTTCGCTCACTACTGGGCATAGGTCTCCCGTAGTTTGTACTGTCTACCATAATTCTGTGCTAGTCTCACCCACCTACGGCCGGGCGGCCCGCAACTTCGTTGATGTTGCCCTTTTGCTGCACGATGTCTCACCTCAAACTATTGTTTGGCCATTATTCAGTTATCGCTTGACTCCACCACGCCTCGCAATAATATACATATTATGTCCTGCCCACCCCTATTTTCGTGGTTATCAAGCTACACGTGTTATGTACAAAGAAAAAATTAAATTATTTCTAGATCACCACTAGACATGGTCTTTAGGTAATTAATTGTCTTGAAATGGATTGTGTTTCAAAGTAGCACAGATCAATAATATGAATATTGTAGATTGAACATTGCATGTTTGTTTTATTTAAATTCTTTTTATAATGAATAGTCAACAAAAACGCCTTTTGATGGCTAGAATACGATGGAAGTGTTTGCGGAAGGTATGTTTTTTAAAATTAATCGAGCTAACGAGAAGGTTGGGTGTAGGCTCAATATTATGATGACCTCGGTTTGCACTGTGGACACTGGTTGAGGAGGCCCCGGGTTCGATTCTCGGTAATAATAAAAATTTCATTTCCTAAATGAAATTTTCTAATTTGTTCAAGCTTGGGTGTTGGAATTGCCTCAGAGTAAGTTCTGTTACCCTGGTACTCATAGTACAGGCAATTGGTGTGGTTGTCTGGCATATTATAATAAAATTATTATTGTTAATATGAATTGAGTACTTAATCTAGATCGGTAGCTGTAAAGGTACTTGGTTGAGATAAGAAATACAGATGGCGTTACGGCAAAAAGTCATTACAAACCAAAAACAAAGATCTGCAGCAAACACACACAAAAAATTGCAAGGTCTGCTAGTTCGTTCCGTGGCTTAGTTGGCATAGTGTTTGGCACGGTTTGCTGGAAGCTCGTTGGTGCGAATCCAGCAGGATCAAATAATTTTTTTCTAAGTCTTCGATCTTTGTATTAATAATTATAACAAGCTAGTGGAGGTAATTTCATAAAAATAATTGAATACCATGGTGGTCAAACATCGTGACATTTCAATAAACTTAAAGTTACTTATACGAAATTATTAGGAAACTATTTTTCCGGATTGAAATCACGTATATTTGATTTTTCCAAAAAATTGTTGTTATATTTTATATTATTTTTTTTTTTAAATTATATTTGCTTTCAAAATTACTTTCAGGGTTTGTTCGAATCCGAGGTCGAATCTGGGCTCACACAGTTTCTTAGAATGTATGTACGAAATCTAATTTAAAATTTACCCATGAGCTTTACGGTGAAGGAAAACATCATGATGAAACTTGCACGTCGAAGAAGGTTCACAACCTTCGGCAAATGTGTGAAGTCCCCAACCCGCATTGGGCAAGCGGGCGGTCCATGGCCTTAAACCCTTGCCTGAGAGGAGATGCTTGCCCAGCATTGGGACGTATGAATGGGTTGGTGATGAAGCAGAATGGGTTTTCATAGGAAAAAAATGTTATATTGGTAGGATATCTGTACACAAATCTGTGCCTTTATTTGAAAAATCTGTATTTTAATATTTGTAGCGGACTGTATTAATGGGTTAAAGGGTGGGTGCTAACGAGTGAGCAAGGCCAAAGTAAACGTACTTACAGCTTATTAATTTATTAGAAAACATGTATATCTATGGAAGCAATAAAAGAAAACAATAGTCAGAAAAACCGCCAAAACCATGCCAAAACAATCACATTTAAATTTAGAATTTGTATTAAGTAATTATAACAAACTAGTGGAGCAATTTCACAAAAATAATAGAATATCAATTCAATAAAAAAATAAACAAATGTAAAACTAAGCTTAAAACTATATTATAAAATATATACAAAGAGATTTGAAGCGACTGCAGCGATTCGCTACAGTATTTACTTTACATATTTGTTATACTTATATAGTATTAAAATAATGTTTTGCGCAAGGCATCGTGAACTAAAACTTAAAATGTTTTAATTTCAAGTAAATATTTCATAATTTCAGGTGGGTCAGCAAGCGAATGCCGTCAAACATTTCACATTGAAAAGAAAGCCAAAGTCAGTGGCGCTACGAAGCGAGCTATTGGCGAAGGCGACAGAAGTAGCGGCTAATCAAAAGAAGGCGCAGGCGCCGACCGTCCCTGTGCGCAGCAGAGGCATGCCACGCAAAATGACCGACACCAGTGAGTATTAAGTATCTGATTAAAACATCAATATTTAGCCAACTGCCAACTGTGCGAATTCAGGCTAAGTTTTATACTGGCAAGGGAAAGCCGTTGTAAGCACATTTTACTACATAACTTGGTAATGTCTCAAATAAGACCGATTAGGCATTGGTTTGCAACATTGTACAGACGGCAGCACATTAAGCTTCACATGAACGGATCGTGTTCCATTGCACTGGAGGCGATATTCGAAGAAAAGTCTATGTGCTGTTGGCTGTACAATGGATTTTCTGAGGCATGTTATATGTATATACATTTAGGATAGCACAGAAGAAACTATGGTCGTTTGATGTAGTTTCCGATAGAGGACTACTTGATTTTATTACTATTGTTCTTCAATTACCACAGATTATACTGACTTTCACTCTACAGTAGTGTCATGTGTAGTAACGTCGGAAATCCTGAGACTGAAAACATCAGTCCCCAGTCTCGAAAAGGCCAAAAAATTGTCGAGACTCGAAATTTTCGAGACCGAGTTTCCCGGGAGGAAAGCCCTAATACATATGCATAGAGGTGTATAAGTATATCATGAAGTAAACGAGCGGCGCAACCCAATGGCTCGGCGTTGGTTACAGCGCCGCTGAAGGGGCTGCCGTCGCGCTGGGCGGCACGCGGCGGCGCGTCTGGCGCGCGGGTGCTGCCCGTACGGCATCCGCCGCGCTCGGGCATCAAGCTACTGGACATCACGGAACAGCCTGCCACACAGGCGCAGATCAAAAAGCGCAGGAAGCTCGGTCAGTGTACTCACCTGTACCTCATTCTGAATTACATTTTTTACAGTCAGTACATTAATAATAATAAAATCATTGACCTACCAATAAATGGACGTCGGGTTCGCGCTAAAAAGTGTCCGTGCCCGTAGGGCGTTAAAATCGCATACAGAGCGTCAATTGCGCAACAGTCTTCGTTTGTTCGAGTGACAGCGCGGTTGTAATCATGCAGTACCAATATATGCAGTACAAATAATAACTTGTAAAAATTACTGCAGTAAAATGTGAAAACAGGATTTTGTATCATATTTTCACTAAACAAATATATTGTGTTATCATAGTTGTCATTTAAAAGTGTTATTTTGTACGGTTTTATAGTATTTAAATTACAAAAGCACACGAAATAGTGAAATAGCTAGCTGTCCTTTTTCTACTCATTGCATGCGCAAAAGATTGAAAGAGACCCATTACGTCAGTTTCAAGAAGGTTATGTAAACTTCTTGGTCATTTTCAATTGTTCGAACCACAAGCGATTGAAATATTTAGAACAACGAAACTGTAGAGTTGCTTTGATGTTAATCCTATTTTTAAAATGATTTTTTTATTAAACGTTAGCAATAACTAACAAAATATTGTTGTACTCGTTTTACGACAATGGATTACCTATCAGAAGTCAGAAAATACATTTGCCCGAAATAACATTAGGTCGAATTTTCATAATGTGTTTTTACGAAGATTACAAAACAAAAGCTAATTTTGTCTATGTAAAAAACATCAAAATTACTCGAAAGCGTAACGGTTTTGTTATAAATCGGAATTACGGATATTTGAGTTTACGTTTAGTTAGAATATCGGTACATTTCTTATAGTACACGCTTATTTTCACATTTGTAGTAATAATTGTATGTATGTATCTGCCCAACTCTTTATTATATCTTTAAGTGAATTTGTACAAAATTCAACTTAATAATATATATAAAAAAATTAATTAATATTTACGAGAAAGGCTTTTTATTCCTTTACTCTTGTGTTCAAGCAATTTTCAGTCGAAGCTAAATATGGTGCATTGTAAGTTTCCAGTAGAAGCTGAATATGGCGTTTTTGGGCCCTTAAATTGTTGTAAGCAAATTTAGGCAGTACTGCAATGACGTTACAATTTAAATTAAATGTTTTAGTTTTTTATATTTCGTTACATGTCACTACGTTTGCATAGGTTAACCTCGGACATTTTTTTCGTGGTTTTTGTATTAGACCCGATGTCCATTTGTTGGTAGGTCAATGAATAAAATCATTAATTTAAGAAAAATAGTCCTAGATTGGCATTCAGATGCAAGTTCGGGTCCTCTCAAATGGGAGGATTTTTTCTTTGTATTCGATTTTTGTATTAATAATTATTACAATTTCAAAAAAAAAATTAAATGCGTATCATTATATTCTAAACATCATATCCCATAAAACAATGTCATTAATTTATGCCAACACATTTAACTACTAAATAAATATTTTCTCATAGAGTTTAGTAACAGACGATAGTGTTAAGAGAAAAAGGTTTGGTTCTCAGTTAAATGGCGGAGTATTCAACAACACCGCTGATATTCTACTATCGTCTGCCATGTTAAAAAAATAACTAAAACACCTGTCATTCCAGTTCTAACATTGCCTTTCGCAGTAGACTACTAAATACTTAGCACAAAATAATTGATTGTTATATAGATATTAGAGGTGTTACAGTCTAGCATACATTCCAACGCGTTGGAGACTACACGCATTTTTCCAATATGCAGGTTTCATCACAATGTTTTTCTTCACCGTTACAAGCACACAATTGTACACAATTTAGAAACCAAAGGTTCTCCGGTTGGCTTACCACCACTCACAAACTTTCCAACACTGTTTAAATACTGAAATTGGAACGGTCTTGTTGTGTGTGCAATGCTTTAATATTTATAAAGGAATTTAAACTAAGCTATTTAAACTGTTTTCCAAACACTGACTCATCCTTAAATTCGATATCAAACACAGTAATGGTGCTTGTAAGATCTTGTATAATAACGTCACACTCAGATGTTAAATGCTAATATTAGAACGTGAATGTCATGGAACAGAAATGGAGGAAGGTCAGAAGAAACCGCCGCCCGCAGCGCCACCCTCGCCGCCGCCGGACTACGCCAAGGGGCTCAACAACTACCAAATGCCCAAGCCCGAGGAGCAGCAACCTGCTAGTGAGTACATAAATGTTGTCTGACCAGTCTTTGAAACACTAACAACTCTGTAGAGGAATAATGGGCGAACGGGTTAGTTAAATACCAGAAAAACCGAAACCTTTGAAAAGTGCAAAGTAGGATCAAGTAGGACCTCAGCTGCTCATCCAAAGTATACGTTTTGGCCCCGAGGTTTCCAAATAAATATTGATCGCCTTGCAGTATCTATTGATCGTAAAAAATCGATTCTCAATTTATTTATTATTATTAAATTTATTATAAAAAATTTAGCCTAATCAAGATGGCGGTTCGACAACAAGGTCCGTTTGAAATCTGGTGTCGTTCCATGTTACAATTTTGTAATACAAATTTGCGGTCGAAATTGTAATTCCGCCATTTTTCCAACATGGCCGCCATACATTTTTTACCGTCCAACACATTTGTTCTGAAGAAATGAGGTAGGTTAAATAAATGTGCAAGTATTGTGTTCGATTGGGAATACTGAGTATCAGAAAATTCCGAACCCTTCAAGAAGTTGTCTGCATCAGGTAGCTGCCAGGTCAGAGCGTCAAAGTGTAATTCGCACAGACATATATCTAGATAGACGCCACAAGTGTATGTATTTCGCCTGCTCAAAGTAAGTAAAATTCACTTAGTTGCCGCTGCTACACTTCAGAACGCGCTCTACCGTTATCGTAGATAAACACTGGTCGAAAACACGAAAAATGTATAAATGTGCCATTATCAACTGCAAAAGTACCATAACTGTGGGTAAACGGGTAAATAGGGACGTTCCCTTCCATGGCCAAGTGATTTTGTAATCAGAAGATACGTAATTTATTTTAAAAACAATTAATTTGGTTTTGTATGAATTTCGAGAAAACAAATATGCAACCGAGTGCATGTCTCATAATTTCTAATACATTGCGGCTTTTACTTGGTACGATATGTTTGTGATTCTTTGTTAATACGCCATGAACATCGAACGAACGCACTTTTGTATAATGCATTCAGTTTCGTGGTTCGGCCGTTTGTACATTTCTTTGCCCAAATTTAACATTAGTGATAGGCAACACTGTTCTCGATTCTGATCGATTTTGAAAACAAAAGGACGAAAATTATTATGACCTTAGCAATATTATAAAAATATTCTATAACTCTTTTGTTATAACGTTTAGTAACGTTTCGTTTTTTTTTTTCAGTTTTCTAGTATCTCTTATCAGTAGAATCTGTAATTTCGATAATTTTTGTAGCACGTTATCTCGAATGTCCGAATATACTGAGCAAATAATTACATACATCGCCGGATATGTAGTACGAGTAATACAAAAAAATATATAATGTAAAGAATTAACAGTGCGCTGTCTTTACAAAAACCTGGAGTTGGTCACACGTAGTGCGCTGTCTTTACAAAAACCTGGAGTTGGTCACACGTATGAATTCGTTGCTTTTGAGGACGAAGGTGGTTTAGTTTATCCCACCTAAGATGCTATCCAAATATGCAGATGTAGCAGAGCTAGAAATCCGAGAAATAATAAACAAATCACAAAAATTTCACACGAGGACGGCATTAAGTAAACCTCTTCTGATTAATAAGATTTTACCGTATTTTGTCAGCAGTAACATTTTCATTTGTCTTTCTATTCATCAATTACCAACAGAAAACCATCTAGTAAAATTAATTAAGGCAGTCGCAAGTTTATATATTGACGTGCGTTTTCATTATTTAAGTTAATCGATAAGATCTTCTATTACAAAAAGATGTTACATAATAAGCTCATTTTATTGGAAGGAAAATAATTTTAATATTTGAAGTCGATTAAAAATTAAAGACTTAATTTTTTTAAGTAATCAACATTTTTTTAAAACCAGTAAAACAAAGGACTAAACTGTATTTTTCTAATATTTTTGTACTATATTAATATTATGACTACTTGTAATCATCAAATACTTGAACAAAAATTGCTCGATTTAGAATCGACTAATTGAATGGAATACGCGTGTTTACGCGTATTCCGGTCAATTAATCGATTTAGAGCGAGCGGACGGAGGTTTCCATCACTAAATAGTTCTTGTGACGTCATAGTGGGTACAAAAAATATGGCACGCTTAGTTTTCATAGAAATTGCTATACTTGCGGCGTCTATTTAGATATGTCTGTGGTAATTCGTCGATTTGCCAGATAAAAATAACATCTTTCGATTTTTTTACGATTAATTCTGTTCAAATACATGTCATTCAATTTTATTTTAAAAAGACCAATTTTTTTTTACTAGCTGTGTTTTTCGACAAACATCTTTTCGAAAGGATTTGATTTTATCTTGAAGATTATCATTCTTGACCAAATTAATTTGTAACTTGACACGTTTGTCACATTTTTGTATTATTGAGTTGTGGTAGTCTGATCGACATTATATACCTAGACATTTGCATGCTATTTAATATATGCGAAATATGTTTGTACGGGCAAATTCTTGTAACATCTTCTGTTATACCATGTTTAAAGCAAATAAACGAATTGTTATTATTATTATCATTTCACCTAAATAAAACTTAATTTAGTATTTTTTCCTTATTTAATATTTTTTAATTATTCGAGTCCCTTATTGGAAATACACTTCGCACATGAAACCAAATACTGTCGTAACTTAAAATTGTGGAATTGTGAAAACACGATTACAACTTTAAAACAAAATACGGAATGAAACCAATAAATATGTATTTTCGTTTATAAATGGATAACTAAATATTTATTATGTAAATAGGCGCTTTGTCGTCGAGTTGCGGATACCAGCCCGTTGCACCAAGTACCATTTATTATGTATAAATAAAAATAATCACATTATTTTGATACAACACACAGTTCGACATATAATTGAAATAATATATTACCGTCATTGGCATAATTATGATAAAATGTATTCTTCCGCTTGCAGCGAGTACAGCGGAGACTGCGGTGCCGCCGCTGACTTCTCCGTTGGGTGGGCTGCGCGCGTCGCCACCTGCGCCGGCGCCGCCGGAGCCGATGCAGGACACGCCAAGGCCCAGTCCCATTCTCGTACAGCAGGTATGGCACACTACACTAGCGCCACCATGCAGTCACCGTTTCGGTATTTTTTTTTAATTCGTTATGATACAATGTGGACGTAACCGGTTGAAAAATCTCCGCCTGTGTCAGAAGTAGTCATAACCATATTCATTGCATCATATATCGAACACCGACTTCAACAGTGTCACAAGTCAAAAATCATAACATTTTGGGTTTTGTTAGGGGTGCGTGAAATTTCCCAATTTTCGGTTAAAAAATTGCTTTGCTTCGACTTCCTGGGATGGAACCGGCACGGCAGTACGTAAGTTTCGTAATGATCAGGAATTTGCATCAGAAATCGTTTGTGACTTATAAAACTATAATGCCAAATAATTGGTTGTAATTCATATACGACACACATTTGTGACAAACCGCATTAGGGTACCACAGCTTTATTTTTATCGTCTACAACAGCACTTTGTCCCGAATTTAACGGTAGGTGAACCAGTAAAATTATAATCTTTTTTACAACAAATGGCCTTAGATGACGCAGAATTCGTAATATGTATTTATTTATGTTTGTTATTTCACAGGGCACGGGCGCAAAACCAATAGTAATAGGTCAACAACCGAAGCTGTTAATAGCGGGTCAAGCAGGGGGAAAGCCAGTACTGCTCTCTGCTCAGAACCTGCTCAACACTTCTGCTGTCATACTGCAGCCAGGCGGAAAAGCTGTTCTGCTGCAGAACATCAAACCGGTTAGTGTGTTTACAGATTTGGTGCGCGTTGCAAGAAAAGGCAGACGTAAAGTAGTGTAAATTACAGGCACATGTGATTTGTTAACTTATGTATCAGATCTTTTCGATTTGTCTAATAAGACCCAGCAAACTACAATGGGAAAAGCGCTAAACGCCCAATGTGCATTAAAATGTACCTACTAAACATGTTTACATACTTCAGGCCCAAGCAAGTATGCCCACAGTTTTGTATGAATAACGTATTTTTTTAGATAATTTACAATATACAGCGCTAAATTTGAATGAGATATTTTCAACACGAATTGGACGTTTACGTGATTATAAGAATAATATTCTCTGATTATGACACATTTCGCATTTTGTTTTCGCGTTTTGATGTACACGGGGCCTTACGAGATCAAAGCTCTGAGTGACACTGCGACTGTTATGGACAGGCTTATCACCAGGCGCACGACTTCATCGTTGCGTCAATTGTAAAATAAAAGTGTCGAAAAAACCTACCTACCTTGTTTTTTTTTCTCAAACATTAGACAGAAGGAAATTATGGGTCTTCTATCAGGCGCCATTTCATTCACTCATTTTATAAGCATAGCAATTTAATAAATACCGTAAAACAACATTTTAAAACACATTTACTAGGTACCTTGGAAATAAAACTATTTTTTTCCTGGACTGTCAGCCATGACTATGGAACCCGTAAAAAGCCGGAACTTTGTGTTTTTTAAAAAAAAGAACGAATATACACGAACTTCATATTCACTAAAGATTAAAATTAAAAATGTCTTCCTTTACTTGCAATGTAATATTGCCCTTTCACTTCATTTTAACACATTTGTAATCGTTCCCGAAGGCCACTTTTGGAAAAATACTTTCATTTTCGAAAATCTCACTTTTTCAAATTTAGACTTGTTTTCATGAATTTTAAACGCTATTTAACGAAATTTGACTTTTTGGTTTAGTGACAGTAAAGATTTCAACGTGCGATATGTAAACGACGATGACTGTTATTAGGTGACGCAGACGGTGGTGCAGCAGGCGCCGCGTGCGACTCTGGGCGTCCCGCCGCTGCACCCCACGCACCCCGCAGGACTGCCCCACCAGATCACACAGACGGTCAGATTTGTTCGCCTGTTTTTTTTATTACTTCGCTTCCACATGCTCTCTTTGCAAACCGAGATTCAAGCTATTAAAAAAAATTATAATAATTGCTTATATTGTCGTGTCTGGCCAATCAAAACGATATTAGTGTGAATATTTAATTACATATTTTTGTCGAAACTGTACTGTACACGTCAAGAGATTTTATTGGTAGGGATAAGTGGAAATGAAATTCCACTTATCCCAACCAGTGGTGGCGTAGTAGGGAAGAGTGGAAAAAAAAGTGCACTTGTCCCCGCCAGAGAGGACAGCTGGTAGGGACTAGTAGAATAGGCCAAATCTTCTTAAAGTGCCTCTCCACTACTGGAGATTGACCGTCAATATGGCAAATTTGTCCCTTTCCATGACCAAACGAAACAGTTGTTCTGCGCTCGTGACTCCGACCCACTCCCTTTTGTTGCGTGACCATGACTACGTCTTCCTGCGCGTCTCTTGCCTTAACCTTTCCAATCATAAAAAGTTGAAGCAGTCGGTATCTGTCGTGTCGAAGCACGTTACCGAGATATGGGTTTTGCGCTTCTTGATGGTCCGCATCACCTGGCGTGAGGTGTTAATTCGCAGGAGTACTGTCTCGTCCTTGACTTTCTGCATCCAGCTGGCCATTCACATACATTATATTTATTTATTCGATAGTTGTCGCTACTAGCGCCGAGTTAGCAGTTGAAAGTTACTGGTAGTAATGTGGTACACGTGTGTGTACAGGTCCAAATGGCCCAACCTGTACAGCAACCCCAACCCGTGCAACACGCCCAGCCAGTGCAGCAGCCACAGCCGGCACAGCAAACTGTGCAGCAACCTGTACAGGCTGTCCAGCAAACTGTACAGCAACAGCCACTGCTGCCGCGTAGAGGGCTCTCGCTTACGGTACGTGATATTTGTTCAAATAAACTGCCAACTGCAGGTTCAACATGCTGTGCAGCAGCCAGCTTATAACATATTTACCTACATATCCTACTGTTAATATAATAGTGTATTATAGAGATGAGCCATGGATAAATATCATTGGGATAAATATTTATAATCGTAGTTTATTATTTATATTTAGTGAAACAAAGTATATTTTTAAAACACTTTGTGTACCCACACAATTATAAACTAAAAAATAAAATTTTCATATCACGTGTTTTAATTAATAGATTTTGTGTGTAAAACGTGAAAGAGAATCCTTAAGCTATTTCAAGTCCAAACATGACTTTATTTAGTACGCAGTAGACCCCAAGACCATAAAGTTGGGTCGCACTTTATTAACGCAGGATAGGTCAGCTTAAGGGTTACAGTAAATTTGATAACTTTCTGTCAATTGAATTTTTTGTACCACTCGACTCGAAAAATGTAGGTAGAACAGTATTGTTACATAAAAGATTGGCAAAAACGTAATAATTTAATAAAAATGAATTCGAATGAATTTTATTATAAAAAACACAAAAAATTGATTATCCATGTTTTAGGATAAATACTCAGTAAAAACGGATATTTATCCTTAGACGGATATTTATCGGGTAAAAATCCATCTCTAGATTAACTCAAAAGATGTGTTTTCTCCGAATCAATGAAAAACGAATTACTCACTTCCCGTGAAAGATCATTAAAATTTGTGTATAGGTTATAGTTTATTACAGACATCTAAACAATTTCCTACTTGCCAAATTTATTTAGAAATAAAAGGGAAACAATAAATTCATATTGTTGAATAACGACTGTTTTGGTCAGAACAAGCTCACATAAAGTTTATCTCATTTTGAGTGGCATAGATAGCTTTTAATTGTTTCTTACAATATTTTAACGACGGTTTTATTGACGTGTAGAGAATCAAATTTTGCGTTCAGTAATGATAGAATGTTGAAATTTACATATTTAGAGTTACAACACTATTGTAATAGCAGTGCGATATGTCAAATATTTTGTTTTCTTGCAAGAACTGTATCTTTAATTTGTGTAGTTTTGTACTAAAATAATCGTGTATAGTGTGTATAATTGTAGCGATTGATAACGTTTGCGTGTTATGTCTTGGATTTGATTCCCATCGGAAGACCGATGGAAATATACTATTGGAGGGTTTAAAGTTGAGTGAACTCTTTAAACATATCTAAAGTCCGCAATCCGCCGTGTGGTGGGCTATGGCGTCAACCCTGTTCTAAATAAGAGAACATTGCCCAACAGTGGGCCGTATGGACTATGTGTAGCATTTACGAGTAATTTGCGTGTTTTTTGCAGCGTGAACAAATGTTGGAAGCTCAAGACATGTTCCGGAATGCGAATCGCGTCACGAGGCCCGAGAAGGCCCTCATACTCGGCTTTATGGCTGGATCTAGAGGTATGTAATCAAAATAATAGTTATTATTCATAAAAACTCCATAGAGTATGTAACGACCGTTGCGCTCCTTTGTGGAGAAAAGTATGGACTCTAAGTAACATGAGTCCTGAATAGGGTTACGATTCCGAAATTTGAATAGGCCGGCCATATAGCTTATTATTGCAAGAAATTTTAGAGACTTTTTAGTAACAAAATAAAATCGAAAATCATTCTCGAACTCTGCAGCGGAGATGGACAAGTGTCCGGACAGCAAAATTTTTGTTGGAAATCGAGCTTTATTATGTATTAATATTATTACAAAATATTATGTATTACGACTATTAGTATTCCCCATTAAAACCCGTCTAAAAAAGTCCACGAACCCGTCGTGACAGTGCGGTACACGTGCTTAGATACAAAAGCGAATAAGGGAGTGAAGCCGCGGCGGCACAAGTTCTTTTCTTTTTTTTTGTAATGCTGTTATTATCTCGCACAATAAAATTTATTGTGCGAGATTTATTTAATAAGAGTGTACACAATTGCTTGGTGGACATTTTTTTTCTGAAAATGACACTAAGCCGAAAATTTTGAACAAAATCCAGGTGGTAGGTAAAAAAACGGGACATGTCCGGACAAATCAGGACAGATGATAACCATACTCCCATGACATGTATGACAATAAACACGTTTTGCCATATAAACCTTTGGTGTGTGAGTAGATATGAAAAAAAAAACCATTATAGGCATTGACTTACAAATAAATGGACGACTGGTGTAACACAAAAACCACGAAAAAAATGTCCCAAGTCAACCTATTTAAAAGTAATGACATGTAAAGGAATATGAAAAAGGTAAAACATTTACCTAATTTTGCTTGCAACAATTGAAAGGCGCAGAAAAACACCATATTCAGCTTCTACTGGAACCTTACCAAAATGCACTATATGTAGCTTCTAGTGAAAACTACTTGAACACAGGTACAATGGAGTAGCCTTTATTATTTATAAATAAAATTTTATTCGTAAATGTTGAATTTTATACAATGCCATTTATTACGAGCTAGGGTGTCTGACTTTCTTTCTTTCTTTGTCTGAGTTTCGAGAATTATCGTACCCGATTTCTCGAGTTATTCGAGATTTTTTTTAAAACCGTAAAAGTTGTTTTTTCGAAAGTTGTTTTGACCTGGGTGTTCTGAGTTATGCCCCGGAATAAATTCCATTCCAATAATTTCCGTTCTTGATCCCAGGTTCGATTCCCAGTAGAACTAATTTGGGAAATGAACTTTTGTAAATTGGTTCTGCTCTGGGATTCTGTTGCTCTGATAATCATGGGGAGTATGTACAGTGAGTTCCCTAGTTTCAGACCAGGTGATTGTGTTACAATAGAATACCAAGACCAGAACCATTTAGAAAAGTTAATTTGTTAAATTGATCCTACCGGTATCGAACCCGGGAACTTCTCATCAGTGCCCACAGTGCAAACCGTTAGGCTGTCAAGATTGTACTATTTGTATTATTATGCATTGTTTGCATGTGAAAGTTACAAATTGCTTAAACTTTAAAAAAAATCCTATTTAATTTGCACTGTCAGTCTGCTTCAATTACCTTCTTTGTTTCTTAAGTTGGTATATTTTGTCATTCATCCAACTATTGGTTTTTAATGCATTTTGGCGGTGTAAGATGTTCTCTGTTAATACTTGTGACTTTCTTCTTAAGTTCAAGCTATGTTTCCTGGATAAATTCCTGTATTATCTCCTTTCTATGCACAGTTCACTCATTGATGTAATCACATCAAAGCTTTAATATTATGGTCTTTTATCAAGCCCAGCATCAGCTCTGGTTTCCTTTCTTTTCTTACCATTTTCTTAACCCGTTCACGCATAGTACTGAAATTATACTGCGCTCAAAAACGTCATCACTTTTCTATATGCCGTAGTGCTTACATTGATTCAATATAATTATTACGGTTTATCACTGCCGACGGGTGATTCCGTCAACAGGCATAGCCGTACTGCTCATAGTTCTTGCAAATGTTTCTTGTGCATGAAAAAGTACGGCTATGACGGCAGTAGGGTATTTGCCGTTGTGAGATAATTACAAAATTAAAATGCGCGACATTGATTGCGCAAGAGATACGCTTTCCAAAATAAACACTTAGGTACTAATTAATAATAATAATAATTATAATAACGCACACACTCAACATTGCCTCGCATTAGGGAAACCCTGTGTTGCGGGTGCCATGGACAACACATAGACAACCACAAATTACACCCAAACTCACGAGAGAAATAAATGTAGGCCATACACATATTTCTCCCGAAAAACCTAAAAAAATACTTTCGGGATTATGGAAATTCATGCAAACGTTATTTCGGGCAAATGTATTTTCGGTCTTCTGATTCGTAACCCCGAGCCGTAGAAAGAATACAACAATATTTGAAAGTATTACTAACATGTATTAAAAAATATTTTAATAATAACATTAGCATCAAAGCGACTCTTTGAAATTTTTGTTCTAAATATTTCAAACGCTTGTGTTTCAAACAATTGAAATTGACGTGATGGGTCTCGTTCAGTCTTTTCCGCAAGCAATGAGTCGGAAAGAGACAGTTAGCTATTTGATTATTTTGATTGCTTTTGTAAATTATATTTACGATTAATTTAAATATAAATTAAATACTCTATATACTAGTGCATAAAATAACACTTTTAAATGATATATGATAACACAATGTAGTATTTACCGAAAATATGATATACTGTCCTGTTTTTTCACATTAGTTTAGAAATTTTTACAAGGTTTTACTACACAATACGGCATCATTGACAAGCGCGCTGTCAGTCGAACAAACGAAGACTAAAGCGTGAATGACGCTCTGTATACGATTTTAACGCCCTGTAAGTTCGGACACTTTTTAGCGCGGACCCGACGTCCATTTATTTGTAAGTCAATGATTATAGGTATTTAATCAATTACATTTTGTTTCAGACAACCCTTGTCCGAATCTCGGCAACATCGTCACAATCAAGCTATCAGAAAACATCGAGAATGTTCTACAGACAGACGACACTTACCTCACGATGCTCTCAGAAATGCATTTCCAAATGAATTATAACAACGGACAATGGACGAGGTTGAAAAAATACAGACATATTGACGGAATGATGCCTCAAAAAATACCTCCCGGATCCACAGTGATACAGGCCAATAATCAACAACCTGTTGTCTCGATAGCCAATCAGAGCGTGAGTTAAAATTAGTTTTTAATTAGGCGTGTTTAAGTGGAAAATTACAGTTTGCAGTTCTAGTAGAGACAGAGAACAAGGTAGATGTTGAAATGATTAATTGATTATTTGAGACCAGCTATAGCTAGCATTTACAAATTGTATGAATTATGTTTATCGTTATGGAATGTATTTTTTATGGAACGCTTTTGTAGACAAACATTCCTGTCACGTTAGCCATTTTGAATCCGCCATTTTGTATTTCAGTTCATTTTTTAGTTTGATTTTTACTTCCGTCTTTCTAATACAAAAATGGAATATGCAAACTGTAATTATCCATAACATTTTGTATATTTGCTATGTTCGTAGAATAAAAGTGTTATTATTAGTTTTAATGCAGGATCACATAATTTATATATCTATAGTTTTATTTCTATTTTTTCTTTTTTTTTTTTCAAATATCTTTAATACTTAAGTTCGGCTTTTTTAATAAGCTTATTTGTACATTTCAAACGAGTTCTATGTTTAAATTTAATTGAGACCCAAACAAATGTAAAAATTAATTTATACTTGTCTACATTGATCATTATCAATCACAATTCAATGCATTTGGCACCGAGCGAAACGCAACAGTTTGTTATTATGTACTAAATTATAGTCTGTTCCAATCCATTTTAAACAAAAAGTAAACAAACATGTTTGGTTAAAATTGTAAAGCAATCACTTAATAAATCGAATAAGCAACACTTTCACATATATTTCGACTTGATATCTCATCCCTTTTTCCAACAGTCATAAAAACGTATTTGAAAAATGGTAGCCCAAAAGTGAGGTTATTTTTCATCTATACTTCTATGACTTGTATATGGTTGCATAGTGCTGTACGAAAAAAACATTCGGTTAATTCAATCGAAGTTTTTGTAATCGATTAGTGAATCGAAAATTTCAATCGCAATCGAACGAGTATCTAAGTGTAAGGATTTCGCAGGTGTAAAATTAAGATTTCGGAAATTTTAAATATATGCTTTTATAGGTTATGTACTTTCACTATTTTCATGCTAGTATGACTCTATTAAACAAATCGATTCATTCAATTAATTAATCGATTTGTAGTTGGCATTATAATTGGCCATCACTAAACCGTGTATGTTCGGGTCAGTGATTTGTTTGTTTACTTTTTGTTCAAAATGGATTGAAACGAAGTATAGACAATTTGTTTATAAATATTGGTCACAAACACAGCTAAATTTCACCAGCTAAATTTCACATACGCATAACGGAGATTAGACACGATCGGTTACTTTCCACCACTAATCCCATGCCTGCTATAAAAACCTAAACGGTTTTAGTCAGAGGTTACAGTACAAACATTAAATTGCTTCTAAAATTAAAGACCTAAAATTATTCATTTAGACGTCGCAATGCATCGCACAGTGTAGGCTAATTTTTTTACCAAAATTGCGGACAGTGTTAATTATAGTCGCCATACTTCTATGACATAAATTTTTAATGTCTATTGGTTCTAATATGCTAAGTTTCAAATATCATTGCTTTAAATGTGAAACTCTGACAAATGCGGACAAGCAAATTTTATTCTTTTTATTCATTAAATAAAATATTCTAATTAATTTAATGTTGTAGTAATTTTGTTATTTCATATATCTGGTTGGATAAAGTGTAGTTGGTGATCTCACTAAAGGAGGCGTTTTACTTCTAGTGCCAAAATAAGTGTCTAGTAAGGTTTCTTGTTTCATTTTTAAGTTTTTCAACTGGATGCATACTATATTATTATAACTACTAAGTTATTACCTAGGTACCTACTGCACCATCTAATCAATTTACTCACCCACTCGTAACTTGAATCGTATATTTTGGGCAGTAAATTATCATAAAATGTACGATTATGACTTTTATCAAGTTGCAGAATAACCACGCAATTAAGAGAGTAAAGTGTTGTACACAGGTTAGGGACAAACAAGCGGAAATTAAGGCGGTAAATTACGCGTGCGCAATTACGCTCAATTGTGGCAAACTCACCCTTGGATTTAAGAGCTCGGCTTTGGTTAGTGCAGTAAACGACATTCTGCCCTCGTATTATTTAATCTCCGTGTAAAACGTTCCGATCGTCTTCTCTTAGATCAGGTTTTTCTATGAAGTTATCATGTAATGTAAGGCTCAATTTATATTGCGGCGGAACGGAATGGAAGCCGCTATATAAATTTAGTCTAAGATCAGCATATTTCCCCTTTGGTGTTCAACTATTTTTAAGAAGATTCTGTTTTCCTTCAGTTTTGTTAGTTTTGGGGACATTAACTCTGTTCAGCCAATTCTTTCCACCCGCCTCCAAGTAAACATCAAAATCATCCAAATATTTCCTTTTTGCTAAAGAAGGATGGCGAAAGCTGACCCAATAATTATAAAACCAAAGAAGAGCCGTTCGTGGACTTTGCTAGTATAACTTTACGTTTTAGTTTATACCTAGTTATCAATATATTTTTGTACATTTTAAGAAGTCTGGAATAAAGAAATTGTAGAACAATGCATTTTAGAATAAATGCAAGAAAACAACGCAATTGATTCAATTCGACCATAGTCTAAGTAACGTACGTTTCATTTTAGCATGATTGAATGTTTACCTACCTAAAGTATTGGTTATTTTATAGTACACACATAAAACATTAAAGCTATAGAATACCTAATCAAATAATCAATTAAACAGTAACAACGTACATTAAAAAATAAAAAACAAAGTGATAAAAATGTTTAGGCAATATTTAAATGAGAGATCAGAAAGTTAGCAAAGGAACGTTTTGACTAGAGGCCCTTGCTAATGGCAATGTCACATTGACATTGAGAACAGTGTGACCATTTGTAGCAGATTTCTGCCATTTTGGGATTTAATTTTTGTTTATTTTCATTGCGGCAGAACATGTTAACGTTTTATTAAATGTAGCAGGGTTTGGGAGACTTGAGAATATTCCACAACTTCTTTACTATTTACAAACTTTTTAGGTAACAAACAGAAAATTTGTTGTTTTTTGCTACTACGAACAAACATCTGAAGCACCATGTTATAAACGTAACCTATATCAACTTTATAACCCCAGCTTCTACAGATTGTACTCAATTAGCTTTTTTGATGCTACGATAATGAATCAAGTATTGATCTATCTTTTTAATGCATGTCGTAAAAAATACAGGGTCACAAAATACACGAGATGTCGCCATGCTTCTTCATAACTAAAACGTTAAAATAGGAAGACTATTGTATTTTTACGCGTTGTTACTTGACACTACGGAATATTCGCGTGCGTAATTTCACTTGCGTTATTTTCGCAAGAATTGTCCGTAGCCTTCAAATATATCCAGTACATACTTTTTATAAACTATACTTGGCATTGTAAATGTAAAATGCGTAATAAAAATTACGTTTGAGGAGCCTTTTTATTGATGTTATGTAGATACTTGTAAGCTGTGACTTGTTGTCCTGCCACACAATAGGTTATTGGAATAATGTTGCGGGATGATATAAAATGTATTTGATTATCGTAATTTCAACTGTTGTAATAGAGATTGACAAATGGTTTCAGTGTGTGCGTAATTGATTACAAAAAGCATAAGTGTAAAGTAGAACTTGCAAAGTATCAATAAAATTGAAGAGCTGTTCAACCTCATCCCCCCTTCCCCGTTCCTGCCGCATTCCATCGCGTACTAAAAGGTTCGGTGGCTCCTTTCTCTGCCGCACGGTTGACAAATGGAACTGCCTTTCGGCACATGTCTTCCCTTCCTCTTATGATATGGGGTCCTTCAAACGAGGCGTGAAGAGGCATATTGTAGGCAGGCACTGTATTGGAGGTGACTAGTGCAGTGAGGGTTTCATCGCTGCACTAGGTTCCTTCGCGTTTGGATACCACTTTCCACTTAACATCAGGTGGAGTGGAGTCATTTGCCTGTCATGTATAAAAAAAAAATATTTTTGATATTGCTAGCCGAAAAAAAACATTGAAAATTTGATCGTATGAGCATGCATTTTGTGTTCAATTTCTATAACTGTCACCTCTACCGGCCCCCTGCTTCTCATACGAGTTTGAAATTAGGATACAGTTGTTCACTAACAGTGTCACTTTTTATGCGCTTTATACATAATCCCTTTTATAAAACATGGTGCAATAATGGAGCAAGAGAACCGTTAGTGAATATACAAATATGTTGGCGTGCATTATTTATTATTGCTTAGAGTATTTTAGTGAAATAAAATGACCAATCACGCTATATTATATGCTATACACAGCCACAGCCCCTTGCTTAAGCTACACAAGCTGTCACTTTTTTAAACTGCAAAATTTGAAATTTTCAACTAAGAATTTTGACAGATTGTGCATCTTTAGATGTGGACCACCGTACGCTTGAGTTTAACACACACTGACGGATAATATTGATTATACAAAGAGCGCTTTTATGTCTCTCAACGTTTGGCAGACCTGTCGCAATGCGTGCCAATGCGGTCCCATTTAAAACGATTATTTTATACAAAGAAAATGCCGAATACCGACATTCAGTGTGTTTGAACCTTTATAATTTAATAATTAAGTATGTTGTTTTGTATCTATAGGATACTCTTAGGAAAATTGAAGAGTTTATTAGTTATATATAATTGTGCGTTTTTTCAGCTTAGCTTAAATGAAATAAAGAGTTAATGAAGTGTATGTTTTCAATTTGATCACGATACGAGAAAGGTAAAATTTTGCTTTTGAAAAAATGGGTATTTTTTTCTAATTAGATAACTCACAAAATCTAAGGATTCAAGTTGTATGGAAAATTGACATCATGAAAACGAAAATATTTTAAAAGATGTTTTTATTGTTGAATATTTCGATAAGGCGTTGTACTTATCGATAATAATTTTATACACATTTTGCTACTCATAATACACAATAGATATATTTTATGTGTTTATCGAAGCACAGCGAGCGAAGCTTTCTTGGCATCCATTCCAAATTGCACTATGTACGAGCGGAATGACTCGGCCGTTCCTATTTTAAACTAGTATAAATTCTGATAATTTATTATTACGATCTGTGATCTGAGGTAATCGAGGTCAAAGGTCTCACGTTAAGTATAAGTATATAAAAGATATTAAAATATTGCGCACGTAAATGTGCAGATAAAGAAATATGAGAAAAAATAATAAGAAAGACTGCTGTGCTTCGATAGGGAATCGCAATTCAAAGTGCTAAAATGACACACGAGTTGTTAAAAACATTATTTTCCGTTGGAACGCAGTCGAAGAAAAATCCGTACATTGTTACTGTACTATTTTCTTAAGTTCAAGTGTCGGAGTAATTTTACAGAAATAGGCAAAATTAATTATTGTAGAGAAACACTGTCATCAAGGTTAATGGTTAATAGATAACTATGTGCGATTATAACTTTCTTAAACAGACATGTACAGGTTTCAGGAAAAAAAGAACATCACTGGTTACCTTAACCGAATAACCTTGCATTTAAATAGTTAAGGTACATTTTTAATTCCAATAGAGAGCCGACTGTAAATAACTTAATTATTATTATTCAGCGAAAAGACACATTGAAATGATTGGAAGCTATACATTATTGACGATTATATTAACTCTCTCATGTAACATAATTGTATTTGTAATTAAATTTTTATTGAATGTCAAGATGTTTCGCCACCATATTTTTTTTGTGAAAATACTTCACTAGTTTGTTATAATTATTAAACAAAAAAACTTAGAAAACATTCACCGATCCAGTTGGATTCGAACCAACGTCTCCCAGCAAACCGTGCCAGACGCTAGCTAGCTTAGTTGGCATAGCGTCTCACACGGGTTGTTTATTTTAATTAGCAATTGTTGTACAATTTAAAAGAATAACTTTAAATTAGAGAGGAATAATAGATATTTTTTTGCGTGACGTCATTTTAGTTATTTGAATGACTTGTGTTCGTAATGATTACAATATACAATGCCTTAAAACAAATATTTACCCAGATTTTTATACAAGATTTGATACTTTGATAAGTTTATATATAGCACGTATACATGTTTATTAAGGTGCCTACAGATTTGCTCGATTTTTGACAATCGACATTAATTTTTTTGTTGATCGGCACGTGTGATGAGACAAAATCGAGTAAATGTGTAAGTAACGTTCTATCGATATCATATTTTTGTCGATTAACACTGGAATTGAAATAAGATGGAAGTGGCTATAAATCTGTTCGATTTTAATCTTGATATTTATTGATCGTTAGTTAATAAATGATAGTAACGATCGTCAATAGTCGAGTAAATTTGTATGCACTTATTAATCGTCAAAACACATCATATCGAACGACAATTACGATCGTCAAAAATCGAGTAAATTTGTAAGAACCTTTACAGTGAAATGTAAAAGACGATACAAGAAGTGCGTTCTGCGTTTGACAGTTTATGAAAAAAAATATTTCAATGGGCGTTTTAGATGTGGGTCAATTATAATATGCTTGCAATACGTAGGTACTAGGTGCTTTCAACGATGAAAGATTAAAATCATCACAAATTTATGGATGACCAAATTACTTCATATTGTATAATAATATACACTATGGATACATGATATCATCCATCTCACGTGTTGATACATGCATTTCGGAGAGAGGTAACTCACCTATGATGTCAATGAATAATAAAATGGACGTGTGTATTAGCCACCCCGCTTTGGGGTAATGTAGTGGATATATATATATATATATATAATATGGCCTAAACTCTCCTTTAATGAGACCCAAGCCCATCAATGGAACGTATAAGAATGACGAAGCAAAGCATACGCGATATTATATAATAGCAGAATTTGTAGATTTGTTTAAGTACTTACTATGTGTAAAATGAATGAATTTGTTTTAGTATTTAGTATATAGGGTGAAATTGAATTGTACATTTAGGGATGAACAATGATAATGTAATATTTTCTATTGAACACTTAGAATTACGAAAATTGTTCATATTTATGGTTACTATCCTCCTGCCGTCACTCTACGAATTCAATTTCAGTCTATTGGATTATCTTATATGATTCGTTGTGTTAACCGTGCATGGTTCATACAATAATCAACAAGCATTTTAAAATTGTACCGGAGCTTTTGATGTTAAAGAGTGCCTTTCATAATAAAATTATATACATATATAAATAAATAAAAAACAGAAACACCGATAGTCTTATTTGATATTTGTATGAGAAATTGCCACGATGTAACTTCCAATAAGAAAGCATCTAAAACTCCGCTACTATTTTGGAATAAATTATTTATCCAATGCATATTGATGTATCCATTGATATAATTTAAGAATTACAGTTGTTGATAAACGTTTTCTACTTGCAATTAATATTAGTTCCTTTCCTAATTTGCCTTATTGAATACATATATATTTGTCGACCTCCGTATTCGAGTGACTTGCACATCAGTTTTCATGGTGTCACCATCTCTCAGTCCCGTCAGGGTCAGTGTACAAAAACTCTAAATTGTAACTTCTATATAGTTTTGGGTCTGCGTGTTTGTGGTACCGTCGTTGTTTCCGATGTCCATAACACAAGTGCTTTATTTATTTATGTAACAAGTTCACAGGTCACAAGCTATTCCACAAAATTTCGTGTACATGTATTCCAATAATAATTTACTTGTCTTTGCGTAATATTATCTGTTATATTTGATAAAGTCAAGTTTTGCTTCTTATGGGAACGCACTTCTAAATATTGTATTAACCAACTATGTGACTTATTTTTAATATTGAATAATTAGTAGCAAAAAAGGTTTTGAGAGTCGAGTATAAATGTGGAATTTGATTAATGGCTTCAATGTGTGTTGGACGCTACGATTATTAAGTTTTTTTCACGTGACTGCTGTGGTTTTGGGAATGTTGAAGTTATTTACGAATTGTCATTTCATGAAATAATAACAAAATGTCCACCTATCTTTATTTTACTTTGTTAGTCTATACAGTACCCGAATAACGAATATTTACATTACATTGAATAAAAATAAAATATGCCTTTATTAATATGTGTCGACCGCCTAGTTACAAGCGCTTGTCTCATTTGAATTACAATTTTAGAAAGAGACCGGTACTACTGTATGATTTTCAAATCACGTGCAGTTTGATTTTCTAATTATAACTAGCTTAACGTAAGGGTGAAAAAACCCTATAATTCCGAAAGGTACATAACCTCGCCTTATAGTGAATACCTGGACTGATTTTTGTTGAAGCAAAACTTTTTAATGTAATGTAGCATCTGATAGATACAATTTAAGTAATTAAAATGTTAACTACAAACATTGTTGTGTTTACTATATCATCATTTTTATTTTGAAACATTACGAGATATTAACTCTAAGGCGACGATAAAGACTTTTTGAATACATCTTAAATCCATTAAGTAATTAATGTAAGGTTGAATGAACAGCGTGTTGAACTGTGGCGGTAGGTGATTATCTTCTTAAAAAGAATTGGTATAAAAAAATTCACCTGTATGGAAACCCCATTAGTCAAATTGACAAATAAATTGAGTTTGTCAATGTGAATTTTATTGTTATGTGTAAGAATTTTTGTATTCCCGAGTCCATGGCAGCTCTTCAATGTTGTCTGCATTAGCGCATTAGTTTACCTTTGTTGTATGAGACATGTTTTTCTATATATATTTAATATTCACCTTGTATATATTAGATAGTACAACAATATTAAATGAACTATTTAAAATTATTAACTTGTTTATTTTTAATAAAATTTTGGAGCTTACTACCCCGTACGGCAGCCGTTAGGCTTTAGCCAATGTCAGTTTTGATGAAATGATCTTTGTGTTTATTCCATGTTACGCTATTTTATAGTGGCCTTTTGGTATTATTATTATCAAAGATATTTTTGGAAGCAAAGACTTGATTATCCCTCACTACAGCTATGGTTCTTGCAGTTTGTCTAACATTTAGAATAGAATAGAATAGAATCGTTTATTTCATGTTATCAATGTCACAATATTACAATTGGAAATACAATGTCAAGGGATAACTATGATCGTCAATAATAAAATTATAATAATAATAATGAATATAAAATAAAGTAGTGTAACTACTGCTTGTCGAATAAAATAAAATTAAAATTGTTTCAAAAGAAACTCATCGACACTGTACAATTCAATATCCAATAAAAGGTTTTTTAGTCGGGTACAAAACGTTTCATCGTTTCTAACACTTTTCAGGTCTGTGGGTAGATGTTCGTAGAATCGGGGACCTATTACCCGCGGACTTCTAGTTGCAAGTTCGGTACGGTGGGCAACGGATTTTAGTGTTCCCGCGTTTCGTAACGCTCGGCCTCCGCCCGTACGTCGCTCATACGTAGCCAACTTTTGACGCGCATAAACTATTATATCATAAATATATTGTGAGTACATGGTCATTATATTGTATTTCTTAAAAAGGTTTCTGCAGTTTTATATTTTAGGTTTGCTTAGTATATTTTATAAATAAAACAATGTTCTTAAATTTTAGTTCAGTGGTTATTGTGATAATTTTTAACACATTCCACCAAACGCCAGCAGAATTTAAAGTTCGTTCTTTTTTGATAATTGTTTTAAGTTATCAACGTCATTCTTAAAAAGTCCTTAAAAATATGATTTCAAAATCATAGGAGATATGCAGATGAAAGGGTGACGAGATTTTTTAGGTACAATTAAAATTCTTTATACTGGCCGATGTTGCTCACTGACCTTGAAATTTTGGAGGTTATATCGACTTTTCAGATTCACGGCAAATTCAACAACTGTCAACCAATAATAAAAAAAAAAATATTCTAAATTAAATTAATCTACCTACCTCTAATAAAAGAGCCTTCTTTATTTAGTTTCCAAGTCAAGTAATAGAACAACTATATTTATTTATAAAATAACATTAAAAATACATACGTACAAAATATAAACAAATAATAAATACCCAATCAGAAATGTATAATTTACTCTCATGAAATGTCTCTTAGGTACTTGTTCACTAGTGGCAGACATCGGAATATAGCTGAAAAGAAAAGATAAATCTGTTTCTGTATAAGTAAAAAACTATGGCATTCTTTACCAGTAGCTTTTACTAACTGGACCGTATTATGACCGTAGTATGAATTATTTTGATAATGTACAATTTGGCAAGTTTCAAAATCACCTTTTTTTCAAGAGCTTTGTCATAAAATGCGATTATGTCACTCTACCACTCCACCTTGTGTATTAAACAGTCGCAAACAAAAATCATACATGCGATATGAAAATTCTAAACACTAATAAGTACACGCCATGAGTGTTTCAAACGTCTATTCAATTTAATAACGCACAAACCGTATAGGAAAAAATAACTAATGTAAATAAATAGTTATGATGTAACACCCGTTTTGATAAAAATGACTATATATTTTTTTAATAATAAAAAAAAGCTTTTTTAACATCGCAAGCTCTTCCACAGCCAGCAAAGCCACCTCTGATTTTTACAGGAAACTGGGGGTGTATTCTCGATCTCCGTCCGAAACAGTTACTTAAATATTCGACAAAATTAAAAGACAAGTATCAAGTGTGAAGCTTCATTCGCATCACGCGTCTTACCATTTGGTGTTGTTGTTAGTGCTTATTTGGCAGTAATTGTTTCGGACGGATGTCGGACGGAGATCGAGAGTAGACCCCCAGAACCGCGCGTTAGTCCCGTTTCGGGGAGACGAACACTACTACCTCAGCACGAATTCAATTTTTTTTTCTCTTGTAATACGGCAGGGACACTGACTTTACTTCAGAATTTATTTTTTTACAAACGAAATTAAAGCCATGTGAAAAATGTATATCGTATAGTATACGTGTTCTATTTAGGTCAGTTGATATAAAAAAAATAATTGGTATGATAATATGTAAACTACCTATTGAATACAGCGTTTTCTCGTAAAATTTCGAGTTAAGTTTATGTTTCTTTTCTATCGTGAAAATTTTTGGAAATATAGTATATTAATCAGTATAGTAATCAGTGTATATCTTCAATTTTACTATATTATATTTTTTTCAAAGTGATTGATTCAACATTCACTGTTACGCGGAATCAACCAAAGCCATTTGAGGTTGTATAGACTCTTAACGCTCAACCAAGTATAATGAAGGGATACTACCCCATAATAATGGTTCTGCCATTTTCGATATGCATTATGAATTAAATTATACAGGGCTATATGTAAAATACTAACAACCGCGCATAACTGTATTACATATAATAAACAACAAGTTTTATTCCATGATTTTTAATAATTCTTCAGATTTTATTTTCGTACAAAAATTAAACGGATCATTCTAAACGTCGACAACTCTGTGCGGTAATAAAGCACGCGGTCGGGAGGAGTCGCTACGAAATACAGATCGAAGAAGTATTAGACAGTACAACAAAATATTAAAAAATGTTTTTGGTAATTGTATTACGTTTTGTAAAAAATCATGGAATAAAAGTTGTTGTTTATGATGTTAGTGGTAATAGATAGTCTTGTGAAGTTGTTGATATTTTACAAATAACCCTGTATGTGTGAATGAAAACAACTTACTAAAGAGAAAGGCGACTTCGACCGTGAATATGCTAGTGCCTCTCGCCCCAACTTGCCCCGCAGACTTGGACACGAACTCGACGATCGACACGAGCAATCCCAAAATTACGAAGCTCGGTGTATACCATAAATAAAATTGCACAAAATATTTATTCTCCTGTGAAGAATAAATATCAAGATAAATCGGTTAGAACTGTTGGCGCTAAATGTGGAGGTCCGACAGAACCGCTTTGGTTCTGCCGGACCTCCACATTGGCGCAGCTTTCTTGGCATCCATTCAAATTGCACAAATTTCAAATGGAATTACTGGGCTATTCCTCGAACGATGTGCAGGAAACTTGAAAGTACCATTTAAAAATACAACTCTGCACGTCGTGACGAAGCCCAAAGTTTGAATTTTGACATGTAACCTGAGATGATTGAGATAAAAGTTCACACTGTGCAACCTATAGGAAAAATAATTAATTATAATATTTTGCGCGCGCAAATACGCAGATTTGTGAAAAAAGAATAATAAGAAATGGCGCCTAGTTTAAATTACTTCTGGTTATATTGACCAGAGCTCTGAAGTTCATTTAATTACCTACTCTCATAGTAGGTACAGAAAATTTCGGAGTTCGTAGGTTTTCGCGATTGTCACATGTAGGAAAACAAACAATTTTTTTTTCGGATCTAAATCGTGTATATTTGTTTTTTTCAAACAACTTACAGGTCCCATGGTTACCGCTGGCTGCGTGGTTTAGATCCGAAAAAATAGTTTCATTTCCTACACGTATATTTTTTTCATACAAAATACGTTTCGGGCTATTTACAAGTCTCATTGTCACGGCTGACTGAGTGTATGTAGAAATCACGAAAACCTGTGCCTATGAATACGGCGTATTGTAAACGCGTCGCAGACGTGGTGTAGTGATAGTATAGTTTACACTTAGAATTTCATGTAGTTGCTTCATTTCAAAAACAAAATTAAAATTAAAACTATCTCTTATCAAAATGTGCTATACATACGCGCGACTTTAAAATACGCCGTGTTCATAGGCTCTAAGAATTCGAGAAAATTTGTTGGATTTTCATATTTCATTATGAATTGCAGCCTGACTTTTAAGTTACGCGGATAATGGGCTAGTTTCAAGGTGGTATCAGCACTGCAAAATAAAAAAGTAACTCACTAAGAATGTAGATAAAAGTAGCGAGATACTGGCCACTGTGAATATGGCAAATAGCATTGCCTTCGCGGACTGCACGACGTCGCTGTTGAGGAATAACGTCGTATCGATCAACAGATACTCCATTGCGCACGACATCTGAAATCAAAATTAATTTGGAAAAAAAACTTTGAAATTCCAATAAATAGTACTAATGTATTCTATGAATAGGAATAACACATTCATTAAATCGGAAGTTTTTTTTAATAGCATGTGACGGGACGAATAAGTTATGCGCCTAATTTAGCCATAGTAGGTGCAGTACCACTCAGAGCTTTATCTGTGAAGCACAGCCACTGCGCCTCCCCTGAGAACAAGTCTCATGTGCCTCTAATTTCACCAGGCACATGAGACCTTGAATGAACCTTACCCTTCAAAACCGGAACATAGTAATGCTTACATTACTGCTCAGCGGCAGAAATAGGTAAGTTTATAAAAAATAAAGTTACAAAAAAGATTAATTTTTTTGTACTATCAAGTGACGGGACGATCATGTCGTCGTGTGCCTAATGGTAGGTAAGCTACACGCCTGTTCATAACAGTTACAGTGCCACTCAGAGCTAAGTCGCAAAGATCTGAGGGGCACTGCCACTGCGCCCGTCACCCTAAGACAAGTTGACAAGTCCCATGTGCCAGTAATTTCACCCGCACCTTTATACCCTTCAAAACCGGAACGCAGTAATGCCAATATTACTGTTTGGCGGCAGAAATAGGTAAGGTGGTAGTACTTCTCTGGACGAACTCTCGTAACGGGCTCTAGTGCTGCTGATAAAGTGGTAGTACTACCCAGGACGAAAAAAATAATTAAAAATAACAGATTTAATAGACCATGGTTTAAACTAAACCTCAGACCATACCACACCGATAATCCCTACAATGGCCACAGTGCAACGTGGTAACAGATGTCCTTCTTCAAAACAGCTTATTCTGTTGAACCATGGCGTAACCAGATCCATAGACCCATATATATCGGGGACCGCCATTTTGGAATGGTATTCTTTTATAATGGATTCAACATCCATTGCTTTAGGAGTGAGAGGAGGATTATACTGCGTGTTGTTATTATCAAAAACTAAACACCAACTAAACAATGCAGTATTATCGAATAGATTACTAATTAGTTTATGAAAGTTGATATCAAACAAATTATATATTTAAATAAATCAAAACTAATAAATCTACACAAGTATAGCATCGAAAAGAAAACAATATAACAAATAAATACACATGTGACAGATAATTTGTCATCTCGCATTAAAAAAGTTAAGGCGAAAATTATATGATATAAATACTGCCTGCTTGTTGTTTCGAAACTTAAGTCACAATATTATCTACATAATGTTCTGAAACGTGCTGTCGTTCTTCTGTTTGTGTCAACTCGAATTCATGAGCTATACAAATTGATACGTACAAGAAAATAAGTACTACACTGTTGTACTTACTGCTTCGTGCTTTGCTGTGTATTGCTGGTGATGGTGCTATAGTCCCGAAGATGTCGCAAATCTGCGGAATATCTTTTTGCTTCTCACTTCTTCTAATAAAAGTCTACAGTTGCGGAGTAGATGACCTAGTTCACAAGAAATCAGGTCTGTATAATAGCTTACATTACTCCATAAAATTTTATAATTGCGCTATATACTCGTCAATACAAATTTAACAAATACGACCGAAAAGTCTACCTACCATTTATACATATTGCTTACTTATTACCTATATTTTATATGTTAGGCATTATCCCAAAAATATGTTCAAAAGTAGGTATAGGAATTTCGGAGAAATTAATCGAAGAAGTCTGAGTAATCAACAGCAAGCGTTACATTTAAAATTTAACATCGACTGTTCACCCACACAATCTAGTATCCCAAAGCGTTCTAGGACAGTACCCTAACTACACTGGACTAATGTCCATTCTAATGCCCAATTCTAATGAATATGTTATAGCTCTTGAAATACAAATACTCTCGGGAAAGTGAATAAATCTAAATAAATACTGAATCGAAGACTTCAGACTCTATTCCCATCGGGGTAAGCAAGGATCACAGCTTTGCGAGAATCCTGACACACAACTTTCACTCGTCGGTTAAGGTTGCTCCTAATATTTCTTTAGGACGTCTTTAATTTGGCCGTGATAGGTCCATTTTGGTCGGCTCTTACCAATTTGCCCATTAACACTTTAAATCTTTTGAAATTGCAGAAAATGCACTGGTGACTGTAATAGAAAAATTCGAGCAAAAAGCTGCCGCCGCTGACAAATTAGACCGAGAAGGCACGAAGTCTCAGGAGGAAATATACCCTTATTACGACGATATGTCTGTTGACGCCAACACCATTGTAGACCTCTTGGACGATGATCCCACTAACGCTTACAAATTTTTAGAATTCGGTGGAATTGGAACGGTAATAAATTCACAATTAGCAATATTCCACTTGGGATTACGGACGCAGTTATTGAATTTAACCAAGAAGCTTTTTGAGATGGCGCCGTCCACTACTAATGCCATGATGCCGCCTAATGCAGTTGATAAAATAGTGGACATATTTGAAGGCGACAGCGATGAAGGAATAAAAGCCAAAGCGTTAGATATTCTTTACGTTTGGTTGCCTAATAACCCAAGAATTCAAGCAAGAGTCATGAAAACGAAAGGTTTGGAACCTTTTTACGAGCAAGCATTGAAACTGGACGGTACAGTCGTTAACATATTATTAGATTTGTTTAACAAAATTTTAGAAGAACACTACTATGTTAGGAGCCAGAAAAAGTATAGCAGAACTTCAGATCTTAACAGATTAAACATTTACAAGAAAATCGGTCTCATCGAGCGTCTATCGAATCCCGTTACGTGCAATGGATTGCTAAATATTTTTGAAGCAACGAATTCCCGTTGGCAAAGTGCCGACGTCACTTTGCCGGTATTTAAACTACTGAAAAAAGTAAACAACCATTGTTTTGGTGTTTTCAAAGGGAATAATAAGGCGTTACAAATCTTTGAAAATTTCCTGAAAACTTTGACTGAGAAAGAAAGCTTTTTCTCTGAGAAGGGTCTGAATGCGACTGAATTCCGTATTATGTTAAAGACCTACATCGAAAAGCTGAAAATCCCACGCAATGACGAACTTTAGTTTTTTACAATTTCGTTTGCGTTTTCTACACGTTCCATTTTATTTGATAAACGTGCAAAATTACTTCTTCTAAACTTACATTTTTGTTTCATTAGCTATTCATCTGATATATAGTCTAATTAACTGCCTCTGTGGCCGAACTGTTACCATGCCGGACAGCCACGCAGAGGTCCCAGGTTCGATTCTCGGTCCGGGAGAAATATTTGTATGGCCTACATTTTATTTCTCTCGTGAGTTTGGGTGTAATTTGTGGTTGTTTATGTGTGTGTCTATGGCACCCGCGACACAGGGTTTCTATAGTGCGGAGCTATGTTGATTGTGTGCGTTATTATTATTATTATTAATTTAACGGGAAGCATCTTGTAGTGTAGTAGCGAGTTTTACTGCGTTTCTGACAGTAGATTATGCGGTATCTCAGTCCACGGTCACCAAAGCTTTGTTTCAAAAAACAAATATACGTTACTTAGACCGAAAATAGTATAATTATTTTATTCACTAATTGAACTTTTACCTTTGACACAAACTTGAGCAAGTACTTTCTGTTTATCTGTCCTTCTGGTTTATCTGTTTAGTTTTTCTGGGTAACTTTTTATTTTATACCAAAATTCTGATATTTTCGCGGTACGTATTTTTTTTCCAACCAGACACAGATACAACAAACGCATTAACGAGGGAAAATTATATGGTGCCACCGTCTATGCCGAACTAAAACCGAGCGTACCAATTTTGTGGCTGTTTGAGTTTGTTCACTCACTCGAAGTAAATTAAAAATTAAGTACTTTTTACTCAGGGATTATAAGATACACTTTACTCTCGCTACGTAAGGCTGTATTGACCTACTTTAACCCCCCCGTTCACACATTGTACTGCACGTTTTTTTTTACAGTATTAAATACACTCCCGGACACGTAAGTCGAGCCACCTTGCATTTTCAGTATTAATTGACCTAAGCTTAAACAATGTTTGATTGACCGAAAACTACTAAGCTGTTTTGAAATTGGTATATTAAACGTCATTTCCTTGAGTCCTAGTTGATAATTTGAATTGAAAAAACTGGGAAAAACTGTTTTCTTCGGTGATAACAATATTTTTGTGTTCTGTCCTATAAGAATAAAAATGCAAGGTGGCTCGATTTATGTGTCCGGGAGTATATTACCGAATAAATAGTGGCGCATAAATTCATACGGTGTTTGTCCTGAAAAAAAAAAACGCACACAGCTCTATACGTTTATCGAATACGCAACGCACTTGTCAAGCAAATCGAATGAACTTTAACGTATCCTTTTTATCGAATAGTCACCGAACAAGCAGCGTCTTTCGGAACCTACTTTGGAAGGAGCCCGCATGCATAATTTTATTAGTACAAAACGACCGGCGAATCTTCTGTGGACAACGATTTATTTATTGATATCTTGTGGAACAAAGGCCCGTTTTGTGGGACAAAACTATGGAATTTTATAAACCCAATACCTTCTGTTCTTCCGGCGGCAAAGTCGTTGGCGTCTTCTAAGGCAATATAAATTGCAACAAAGCGTGGATCCATCACAAATGTGTTCTCATGGCGATTGCTGTCAGAATACTGCGGCTATCCGCCTTTTAAACGCATGAAAATATATCGTGTGAACACTCCGCTCTCTTTAAGAGAGCCACTATGAGGGTGGCATTTGTAAAACCCTCTATAAGTAAATAAAGACTTAAAAAAAACCCGCTCTCTATCCATTTATAATCGAATACGTTAAAAAAGCCGCGTGCAGGGCAATGCTGTGTGAACCATGGCTTAAAGCATGAGAAGTGAAAAAATAGTTAGTACATATTCGATGTGTAGCAACCGCGAGAACTCAATACTATAATTAAAGATTAAAATGTCTAGGCCCAATGAGCCTATCGTCTTGCAACGCAGAACAACGTAATAATCAATGTACGTAATCGGACCTCGTCTCGATTTATACCTCTCTATTTGAGACGATTCGTATGGTATTTCTAACCACATGTACTTTAAATTCTTTTTATTGCTTTCTATTGTATAAAATTTCTTCCATTTACCAACAAATGACTGTCAACCCTCAGCGTGGTCTGTCCTCGCTACATATCAACCGCAATGATTTCGATAACCATTGTACTCTGCCCCAGGGGTGGCGCAATTGTACAAACTGATTTATGGTTAAACGTTCACTCATAAGCTACTGTGTTAATTTATTTTTATACCTTTTAATGGCAAAGTATTTTGGTCATGTGAAGAGTTTTGGTACCTGTACTAGGTATTTAACAGCTTTTTTATTTTATTTTATCTTATCTTTTTGTGTTGAATAATGTTTTAAATGATAATTTTGAAGTTGGTTCTGTTCGGCGCATTAGTTAACTGAGAGAATGCCTTATGGCCTTATGACCTTATGGCTTATAAGTCCGCTATTTGTGCTATATGACTGTATTGTGTACAAAAAGGTTAAATAAATACCTAATAATGACTTCTATCTTGAGATCACCCATTCAGTCAGGATTTTTTTTAAATTCAAGGGTAATCATGTATGAAATAGATACTTCCAGTAGAAAAGGGCTACTAATAGCATTTTCATTCTTTTTGAAGAAAATTGACGTCAACCATAACCTTGAAACCAATAAATCAATCAATTCAAATGTAACGATCATTAGCGCGATGACAAATTCGCTCCATGGGTGGCCGCCTTGTGGTTTTTATTGCGCCATTGCTGTGACTTCCGACGGGAAGTGACATTATTATACACGTTCAGAGTGTGTATTTAAATTCAATATTTAATGCAAACAATTAACTGGTTTTGGTGTCAATTTGTGTTTGACGAAATTAATGTTTGGAAAATGATTAAATATGGGCAATATATTCCTGGGAAACAAGATTCCTGTGGTAATATTTATAAGTAAGGTTTCTCTACAGTTTGATTAGATCCGAAAAGTATTCATCATTCTCGAATAATAAAAAAGGCTCCCATAAAAACATAGGAAAAAAATATGAAATGCGTGGGAGAGACAAAATATATAAAAGCCAAAAATCAAATCAGTCGACTAAACAAATACAAGAATCAGTCAAATCAATCATACAAAGTTCAACCAACATTGTCCAAAAAACGTGGCGTAAAAATGTCAACCTGCCACTTGCAATGTTGCACGTCAAATTGTGTATAGATACCTCAAGAACTTTAAAAAAATATCACAGTAGCAATACACACGGTTCTATTACGATACACCATACGTATTTCACACTTGAATTACTCATACTTACGTCTTAGTATTAAAGTTTAAAATGTTTAAAATATTTTATTTTCGTGTCGTGGGAACGAAATTGTAAGATTTTGCGCAAAAGTCATGAATGAAATTTGTGATAAAGTGACCGCGGTAAATAATTCCATTTGGTGCTGTTTGAATGGCTCTAGCGATTTATGTGTAGGGTAGCCATTAATAACTTGAAGATTTAATGCACGCCCAAGTGTGTTTAAGAGAGTGAAGGATACGAGAGAGAGGCAGGGCCTTCAGGGATCTGAGAGGATTTGCCTTATAGGTGCGGTTCGGTACGATTTGTAAGACCTTTGTCAATGAGTTGGATCTCTATTAAAACTTTTTTGATACAGGCCCCGTGAATCAAAAGTCGAGACAAAACAACTTATCTATGATTATCGGAATGCATTACCTCCACTCCGCGTTAATAAACAAGTTATATGTCTATTTTTATATTTATCGAAAACATTTTTTGATTAAAAACAGCAGGTGATAATAAGCCGTTCAAATCTAATACAAAAATCTGTAACATACATATAAAGAAATTCTTACTATCTGCTGACTCGGTCTGTAGCTCAGTTAATTAAGTGCGGTGGCCCCGATACGGCAACAGACACTGGTTCGAGTCCAATTAAATCAAAATATTTTTTTTCTTTTTATAATAGACGTTACTTTTTTGAAATTTTACAAATATTCAAGATAGCGTTTAGGGGCGCTATCAAATTAGACGCTTGTAGAAGCGCTATAGTGGCGCGTCAGCGGCTCTGTACCCGCTACTAATTTTCATACAAAATCTAGTCTGCAAAAGTGACGCGTCTGTGGCGCGACTGTGGCACTACAGCTGCGCTTCTAAATATTGTATGAAAATCAGCGTTTCTACAAGCATCTAATTTAAAGGCCCCCTAAAACGAGCCATTCGCTACCTGCATGGCAGTCCGCTGCGCAGGCAGGAGACTGCTCACACACTATCCTGCATATGGCCCACGTATGGAGTCTCGCAGGACGCATTGCAGAATGGCTTGCACGCTGCGACTACATTCATAATCCTGCATTACGCGGCAGACGGCTAGGCGGACAGCAATGCAGGATAATGAATGCTTTAAATGCTTTTAAGGTAGTAGCCGCTTTATCTTCGAAAGAAATGTTTCTTTCGAAGATAAATTCTTTTGCTTAAATATCCAACAATATCATCCAAAGATGGTGTTACTACGATGCACTTTACCTACGTATTCAGGTAGCTATTACGCAGGCGTGAGCCACCTGAACGATAGTTCCCATGCTCAAGTCTAACCACAACTTGTCCCGTGATAACGTTCTTAAATGCATTCTATAAGATACAAAATGGTACATTCTGTGGGACTAGTTATGGTTAATTTGTATTTGCCTATTGATCTCTTTCAAAAGTGACTTCGTTCATTTATTATTGCTAATTTATTGGCCGCCTACGTTACGGTCTGTACAATCATTTTAGAAACGAATAGTAAAAAAAGTATAAAAAAGCTTTAAGTTGCATTTTCAAAATAGAATATTTTAAAATGTAAATAAAAAAAAATAGTCTAAGACAAAATTCAGACTATCTCTGTTCTACAATTGTATTATACCACCACCCTCTTCCTAAAAAGTAATTAATTTATGGTATAGCAAAACAGTTTTGTACATATATTATTATGTTCGGGCGACAGAAAAAGACTTAAAAAATTTAATGAACAATTAGTATAATTCGAATGGAAGCTATAACAAGTTCGATTGAAAATTACACTTCTTCTTTGTCGTTATCTTCATTGCCGAAGGTCGTCTCCCCGAATGGTTTTCGGGATTCATGACGATTTTCTTCCATCTGGTTCTGTCTTTAGGCAGTTTCTCCGGGCAATTGTTATAGGGAGGCCAGTGAGGGCGGTCACTTGGCCACTCCATCGGCTAGGTGATCGACCGCGGAGTTTCTTTCCCTCC